CTGAGCCCAGGCTTTGGCTACTCCAGCCCCAGTGCCCAGGCATGTGACCGAAGAAGTCTACAAGATTTCAGACCCTCTCCATTCACTGTTTCCAGTGGAGGCCCCAGGCCTGGTGGTGGTGGAGATGAAAGCTGCCCTCTCTGTGCTATGCTGTCTGCACTCCTGACCTCCTGAATCATGTGTGTGACAAAATGGTGGTGGTTTTGTACCACTGCATTTTCAAATCCTTCGTTGCTCAGCAGCAGCGACTAAACAACCACTGAATCAGAGACAATTGCTAGAGCAGGGGCTGCGGGGAAGGAGGGACAGGAACCAGGAGGACAAAGCCAGAATCCTCCCTAGCAGAGAGGGCAGGGGACAGACGATGATGTTCCTGTGCTGCTCACTCACCGCTGTCGCCAAGCCTGGCTGTGGGCAGTGAGACCGCGGTGGGGTGGGTAGATGGGTGGGTGGGTGTAACATAGGCCCCAGGTGGCACCCCCACACTCATGCAGTCGTCCTTCACTAAAGACCCAAGGTTAGGACCACTGTGGGTCCTGGGGACACCGTGATGGAAGGAACAAGGTCCAGTAAGGCACAAGGACAGGGAAAAGTGAGAATCAAACATTTCTAGGGCTCCACCTGGACCTGAAGGACTTTGGTTTTGCTAAAGTCAGGGGTGGGGGCAGGAAGGATGGGGCTCTGGCTCTGCTTTTACCAAGTAGCTCAGCAGCATCCCTTTCCCTTGGTAACACCACCTGGGTTTCTTTCAAGACCTCTCTCCCCGTCTCCATTGGATTCGATCTGATGGAGCTTTAGACACCAGAGGGACGGGCATATGCTCCGTGAAGGGACCCTGTGTGCAGGCTGACCCACAGGCACAGAGGCAGCCGAGAACCAAAGAGCCAGGCAGGCAAATGCAGCTCATTGGTAATCAGGGTTGATTTGGGGACCTTATGGATGGAAGCGAGGACCTGGGCAGCAGCAAGCCAGGGAGATCTCTGTGCCCATCGTTATTCCCAGGCCCGGAGCTTCTGCACCACAGGGATAGTCTGAGTGTTCCTGTACAAGGCAGTAAAAAGCAGCCCCAAGGAACAGGCAAGAACGCCTGTGATAACATCAAAGGTGCTTTGATGTCGAGGCAGATTTATAGAGAGTACACGTTCTTACACCAAGGACAGCAAATAAATGAGGAATTAGGAGGGGTTCACGGGACTGGGGTTAACTACAAGAGGGCTGGAGACGGTGGCTCATGCCTATGATCTCAGCACATTGGGAGTCCAAGGCAGGAGGATCCTTTGAGGTCAGGAGTTGACTCTGTTTTGGGCATCATAGGAAAACCCTTTCTATACAAAACAATTTTTCTTTCTTTCTTTCTTTCTTTTTTTTTGAAGATGGAGTCTCACTCTTGCTCTGTTGGTCTCAAACTCCTGAACTCAAGCAATCCACCCACAGTAGCCTCCCAGAGTGCTGGATTACATGTACAAAACACTTCTTAATTTTTTATTTATTTGTTTTTTTGTAGAGACAGTCTTACTTTATTGCCCTCAGTAGAGTGACATGGCGTTGTAGTGCCCAGATCACAATGTCCCCAAGAACCACCAGGGAGCCAGGGTCCGAAAAGCAGGAGGGTTTTATTCAAGCTGGTGAACCTGGGCCTCTAGTATCTTGGTGCTGCAAGATCGGGCTGAAGGCCCCGTTAGGAGGGGAGGGTGGCTTTTATGGGTGAGGGGAAGGGAGTGACCTCTATGTGAGGTCGTGCACCTTTCTGATTGGTTGGGACCACTGAGATGGTGTCCTGTGCCTGTGTCCTGACTTCTGAGAACCTGAAACTTAACTTTGGGGAAACCGAAACTTAAGCTTAAGATGACCTCGGTCTTGTTCTTTCAGCATCACAGCTCACAGCAACCTCCAACTCCTGGGCTTAGGCGATTCTCTTGCCTCAGCCTCCCGAGTAGCTGGGACTACAGGC